TGATTGTTTAATTTAATTAACAATGTTTAGCAAGTAAAAAGCCGTGACAAGCTTTAAAATGTGAATTTATAGATCTGTCGTATTACTTATTATTAGTTTTAGAGTATATTTGTATTTTGTGGTCATTTTTAACTCTGTTTATCAGATAAAAGCAATAATTGATACAATGAAAAGTTTCTGCAAATTTATTTTTAATAAAATATTTAAAATACAAATGATATTCCAAAAATGGTAATTGATTTTTTGAGAGAACGGAGCGTCCGATTTGTATGATTCAAAAAACATTTTATTTGTATTGACGAACTGATGAAATTGGGAAGGCAGGTCTTGCGGTTTTGAAGATCCAATAAAAGTGAAAAATTGCCATTTGGCGGACAAAAATGATCATTAGACATATGCACATCAAATTATCACGTATTTTATAGATATTTTAATAAAAATAACAAATTTTTACTTTTTTATGTGTTCCGTGGCAATGTTTATCCGTTATACTGCGGAGCGGCGCCCATGCGCTTCTATATTTCGTTTTTGCGCAGCTAACGTATTGCGATTGCCTTGAAAAAAAATATTCAAAATCAAAGTATTCAAAGTATAAAAGAAATCAAATTTTTCAGAAAGGTCAATTTTTCTCAAAAATTTAAAAAATCACAAAAATCGATTTTTTCAGAATTCTAAAAGAAAATTGAATCTTTTTTAATAAGTTTAGAGTTTTATTAGCAATCAAAATAATATACATTTTTAAGACAATATGTTGGGTGTAAATGCATTTAAGAGATTATCTCCTATGAGAAATCTCTCTTTTTTATTGTTTATTTTATTGGGTGTCCTGGTAGTTTTTCGTGGTATTTTTTGCTCCTTTCTTTTATAATTTCATTAATAGTTTTTATTCTTAGGTCTTTATGTAGGGTGTCATTTGTAATATACCAGGGTGCGTTCACAATGCATCTTTAAATTTTCGATTGCGCTATTTGTATTTTTTTATATTTGAATTGCTTGCGCACGCCCATAGTTCAATTCCGTACGTCCAGATTGGGATAATTATTGTTTTATATAGAAGAAGTTTGTTTTCATAGCACATATTAGTTTTCGGTACGGGAATTTCCAGCAATTTGCCTTAAGGCACGATGCCATGCACCACTAGTTCGACAAAGTTTTGCACAGACAGGTATAAAATTCGAATATCAGTAGAGAATCAGTAAATTGGTGAAGTCAGTTATTCAAATTATTAATTTCAACTTTGTAGTGATAATTAGTATTTATCAATTCAAGAACGAAAGTAGGTAAGAATTATGCTTAAATTATTAATAGTGCAGAAAACGGAGCGTTTTAGGTCTGAATTTTTTTACTGTGCTCCGAATTGAATGAAATTGAAATGAAAAATGAAACTATCTTCAGAAAACTCACGATTTTATAAAAACTTTTTTTCCAATTTGCGCGGCCGCGCAGTCTTTAAACATTCATAACTCTGTCAATTTTTGTGTGAAAGAAAAATAATAAAAAACAATAATAAGACAGAAAGATCCCTTTGATTCTTATATATATGCTTTTATACGTATCTTTTATTCTTTTCGAGATATAATGAAAATAATTTCGATTTTAAAAAAAAAATGGAAAAAAAAGTTTTTACAAAATCGTGAGTTTTCTGAAGATAGTTTGTACTAAAGTAGTGAATCTGCTAGAATCCATCAAGATGTCTATAATGAAGTGAATTCTAGATGGAATGTGAATTACTTTAATTCTGGTGGAAATGGCGCTCATTAAACCATATGATTTAAAAGGAAAAAACTTCGTATATGCTTCTTATTTGCATGATAGCTCACTCATTTTACACGCAAAAAACTTGTAACAGCACTCATTTTAAAGCTTATATTGAGCGCTATAAAACCCAATTTCACCGAAATGCATAAAATGTAAAACCACGATACTAGATGGCTTTAAATACAACAATTAAATCTTGAACGAAATGAAAAACGAGTTTGCTCTTTCAAATCTTGCTTAATATTTTTCCTAGAACACTTTATGTAATACCGATTTATTAAGATTTTTATTGACATTATTTTGTTCATTACATGATTTTCGTTAAAATGTATATTTTAGGAGATATTTGCAAAAAAAACGAAGAAAAAGGCCAAAAATATATGAATCTTTAGTGGCCAGTAACTTGAAAAGTATTAGTTTTTTTTAAAAAACTATAGAAGATATTTTTTCTTATAATCAGTTCTTCTATCGATTTCCGATGTTATTTTGAACAAATGTAATTACACGATTGAGAGGGGGTGTCATCCCCCGGGGGGGGGGTGATGGCGCAACCCGACTTGTTTTCACTTTTGAACTTGGGGGTAAGATGAACCTAATTCCAAAATTTCATTCAATTCGGAGCACAGTAAAAAAATTCAGAGGTTATACCCTTTTTTCCTCTCCGTTTACTGCACTATAAGTACCGATAAGTAAAAAAGAAATGTGCTTTAATTATTACGTACGTAAGCGATCGGCTGATATCATTGAAAAAACTCTGAACATAATTTTTTACATTGTTGGGACAATTATAGCTGATTTTAGAATGACTCTGTTATGCAAGGTCGCGAATGCATTAAATATAAGAAGAGCGAAAACATATTCTAACCAATATTTCATTATGCAATTATAATTAATTTTAATTTATGGGAGAAACAAGTATTATTAATATGTTCTTTGAGTTTGTTAAATATTTAACATATTCATACTCAAAGTCGAAATTGATGTGTTAGCTACTCATAGGTGCCAAAACTTGTTTTTTTGTTAAAATTTCCTTGAAAACAATTCGCGGACGTCCACTAATCTTCACTCAGAGCACTAAACGATGCACTCACCTGTTGAGTGATTGATTGGTGAATGGAATTCGTTCACGGTTGCAAAGATTCATTCAATGGATTTCTCTGCATGTTTAGTTTTTTTTTATTAATTTGTTTTGTATTGGCTAGGATCATTTTCATCGACAACAGGAAATCATTTTCGATTGGATTGCGCAATCGAAACTTTTTGGCAAACCACAATGCTAAATTAATCAAAATTATATGATTTGTCATTGGATCACTAATGATAATTAATGATTGCAGTCACGATGATATGTTGTCTAGTCTGATTTGCCATTAACGATTTTTTATAAATGATAATGAATAAAATTACTGTATTTTTTGGCTCAGATTGATATTTATGGAAATATTTTATACAGCTAAAGTAAATAAAATAATAGTTTGAAAATATTTTTATTTTTGAAGTAAAACTTTTTTAGGCTCGACTAGGGTGCTCTCGATTAAACAAATTAAACGTTTGTGCCATGAACTAAACGTAAGTTTATTGATTTATTGATTAGAAATTATTTCTATATTATTCGTAGTTTCTGTAAATCTTTGAAGTTATTAAAATAGAAAATATTTTTAGGCAAGACTGATATTACAGCTGTGTGTACAAAGAATGAGATTATATCGCCAGCGAAAAAGTAAAATACGAATCGAATGTTTTTTAAATTATTCAAATCGGATGATCGGTATTCCCGAAATCTTCGACGAAAATTTGTATCCCCACACACACATACATCCATTTTTTCTAAGGTATGCCAAAATGTTCAAAAACCTTTGAAACGTAAAAATATAGGGGGAAGTTCCCGAGTGCCGGACACCTAAGGTTATTTATAAATAAATCAAAAAATATTTTACGAGATGTTTAATAAATTATGACTTATGTTAGATAACAAAGTTAGAAATCAAACTAAATTAACAAAAACGCAATATTTGCTGAAAATAATTAATACTATCAATCAAACTTTGGTAACAAGAAATAAGATTTTTCAAAGTGGCACCTAGTACCGGACATTTCAAAATAACCAGCATTGAACCCATATGTAGCCATCTCCACACTCTGGAGTGTCTGCACATATGTGTTTGATGAATATTCTTAGAAAAAACACTATTCATCCACCATTTTGGCTGGGCCACACCGATGCTCTCAGCTGGAGCATTCATCATAGGATTTTCATTTTTTGACTAGGAAATACGAAAAATGAAAAGAAGAATTTATTTGACTAAGAAATGAATGAAAAAAGTGACCGTTAGCACTCATACAGAACAAAATTAAATAATTAAAATAAATTACGTAAATTCTCAGAAGAAATATCAATATGTTTACTGTCCGGCGCAAAGGGACAACTTAGTGTCCGGTGCTAAGGGACAGGCATGTTAGTTCATTTGGTGATACCTACTAAAATTGTTTAAAATATCTAATAATATTCTACCATTTTACGGATAACAATAAAGTACTACTTTTACTTTTGCATACCACTCAAATGTAAATGCAAATTATTCAAATATTTCAAAAATCTAATTTTTCAAAGTTTTCAAAAATTTTTGAAGGTTTTTCAAAAAATTAAATTTTCAGTATAAGAAGTTTCAGGAATTTGCCTCCATGCACGATTCTATTAACCACTAGTGCAAATTTGATTTTTTTGAATAAATGCGTTCTGTTATGCCAAACTTGCATTAAAATTTATTTTCTGTCTCTTTAGTAGGTTTAATACCTTATATCTATTTCCGCAATAACATATGCTATATATGCTATGTATTTTTTATCTATTTATCAGTGAGAGAGGTTTTTCCAAACCTCTCTAACCAGGATTTAAATGCGATATCTGGTTCCATAATGCAAATAAACAAGCCGCTTAACGAGTCAAATCTCAGGTCGTCGTCTTAAATGAATAACAGTAAGCATGACATAATACAACTATCGAAATCCGCTTTTTGCAGCTCCACGAAGAATTATTTAAAACGCCTTACAATTTTTTTCAATGAGTTTAAATAAATAACATGGTCAAAGTGAATTTGCTAAATGTTTTGCTTCTATAGACAACTTTGATAATTAATTATTCTGCGATTGATGTGCCAGATAATCGTATTGATTATTGTTTTGTATTGAATAAAACGAGTTCCAAAAAAGTTGCAAGAAAAATATCAGTTCATATTGCTGACATGGTGGCAACTGTTGGACTTGTATTTGTTGTTTATCGGTAAAATACTTTCCAGTGAAAATAAATATTTTACGAGGAGCAAAAAATCAATATTGTCTATCTATACAAGAGTCTTGATTTAACAATCTTTTCTAAAACACAAAGTTCAGCGATTGTCCTAGATGAAAATATACAAAGAAAATATGCAACACTATTTATTCGTTTTCTACACTTTCAGACCAGTTAGTAAAATCAACAGATTGCTTAACTCATAAAATAAATACAGACTTTATTTAATGTCATATTGACAATAACAATCACAGCAAACGGAATGCCTATTTGAAATGTCACATAACAATACTGTAATCAATTTCAAATTTATTGACATAATATAATGTGCTAATAATATGATCCATATATGAAGATTGTGTTTTTGTGCATCATTATATTTGTTTTTCAGGTTTACTATAGTTTTGCACATATTAAGGGCTTTATTAACCAGTTCAATCTCTTCACAAGTGCACGCAATTTTGAGCCTTCAGAATCGAGTAATGACGAGTATATTCGTCAACCACACACTAAGTCGCTCTGGTATGAAATTGAGTCAAACAGGTGCGTTACTAATTTTTATTTTTTGGTTAACACAAGCATGTTGCACATACATATTGAACTAAAAACAAAGTAAATTCAATCAAATATTATGCATAGAAACATAAGAATTCAAATTTTGGCTGTGGAGGGTATTATAGATAATGGGACTTCGCAAAATAGTTCTTGCAGTTTCATATTTTTACCAACATCTAAAAACGTTATATAAATTCATTACGCAAACTCGTGAAGTTTTTCAATCAGTGCATACCTTGGAATTTGAGAATATGTTCAATTTTTTTTACAAAAATTACAATTTAAATAACCAATTGTCACTAATTTGTAAGAATAATGAGTACGGAAGACTGGGTACGGTTGTGCAGGGCTACGGTGTTGACAGTCGTCATAATAGCCCAGTAAATACCGAGCGGTGGTAGCAATCTGAAATCCACATTCATTCCACATGGGCATCACAGC